TCTAACCATGTGCCATGTACCTGATCTATGGCCTCTGCCCAGCAAGGCACACACAGAAATAAAATGACACTGGGGACAGGGAGGCAAGGCCACACCCACCATGGATGATTATGGGTAGAGGCCAGGGTACATTAGGAGATCTGAAGAGATTTTTTTTTAAAAGCAGCTTCTGGCAATCTCTGAGAAGGTGGCATTTGTTCCAGAAAGAGGACTCCCCACTGCTGTCCCATCAGACTGGAAGTCATGGAAACTGGCCCAGCCACAGACCCTGTGGTCATGCTTGGCCACTACAGAGAGTGCTGTGTCCCTGGTTGGTGTCCCTGGCAGCCTTGGAAACCAACAAAGCAGGCCCTGACATCAGAGTCCTTTGCATCTTTATCACTGAAAACGCCTGGATGCAGCCCAGACAGAAAACAGTGGATTTCAAACAGGAAGGTTTCTTTGTGGAGGGACACACATGGTTCACTTCAGCACAGGAGCTAATCAAGAAGATGGAGGCTGGGTTCCCCTCCTGCCACCTCGGCAGAGGCCCCAGACTGCACCTGCTGATTGGAATCCTGCGGTGCCACAGAGGCTGGGCATCCTGCCACTCCTCTCTCCAAGAACACCTCCGCCTGGCAGGCTGCCAAGAACATTCAAGCCCGCGGACATCACGCCCAGAAATCCAACCATTCAGAAAGCAAATGCATAGGATCTCATGACCACACTGACAGCCTAGTAAATCAGTGTCCAGATGCACAGTCGCAGCAGGGCATCTGAGCGCTTTCTGAGGACACTTGGTGATAACAGTGGCATAGACATGGGTACACACATCTCCACAGCACACAGACTTACTAAGGAACCCCACGAGCCTGCAGCTTTTCAACACTGTATTATGGACACTGGTGGTGGTGGTGGTGGTGGGTCTCTACCCTCAGGAAGCACATGACCTTGTCTGACAAACAAAAGGTCATCAGAGGAAACACTACGGATGATTAAATGCATCCTGTATGGTGAGACCAACGTGGCAGTTGGGTTTCAGAGCTTGGGCTGACAAACCTAGGAAGGTGGCCTTGTTAAGGTACAGAACATGTGATGGAAACAGGAAATATGCTCCAGATGGAGGAATATTAAGAGCAAGGCTAACAGTGGGGACTCCCTGCTCAGTGTCTGGTGGCTTCCAACTGGCTCACCTACAGAGATATTCTTAGGTGGAATGTGAGAGGAAAGAGATGACCTTCAAAGGTCATTTTGCTCCTCTTTCTGTCTCCAGGTAGGAGTTACCAGCCCAGTTGCCAGGGAGCCTCCAAGTGTTTGTCCATTATTCAACTCCTCTTGGGGGGGCAGGGCAGGTGACACCCTACATTCCAGGTGGTTCTCTTTTGCATTAATGGATGTGGCTCCTACTCCCAGGCATCGAATGAAGCCAGACCTGTTGTCATTCTGGTCTAGCACACAGAACCAGGAATTGAGGCCAAAGCCACACTGCTGGGTAGAAGGCTGTGCAGGCTAACACTGGAATAGCTCTGCCTAGTAAAGTGCACAATATTTTTATTTTTGGCATTACTAGGGTTTGAACTCAAGTGCATGCCAACCAGGTGCTCTATTAAGCCATGCTCCCAGCCAGCCCAGGGTGCACCCATGCTGGCAATAAACCAACCCAGCCGGACTTTTTTTGTGGGAAGGCAGGTAGCTATGGTTTGCATGTGTCCTCCAAAGACCATGGGTTAAAGGCTTAGTTCCTAGCTCATGGTGCTCTTAGGAGGTGGTGGAACCTTTAAGAGGTGGAGCCTAGTGGGAGGTCTTCCAATCACTGGGGGATGTGCCCTTAAAGAGGATAATGTGACTCTGGCCCCTTCTCTCTCTTTCTACTTCCCAGTCATCATGAGGAGAGCAGCTTCCTCTGCCATACACTCCTCATCACGATGTACTGCCTTATCAGAGGCCCAAAGGTAACAGGGCCAAGCCTTTATGAACTGAAACCTCTGAAGCCATGAGCCAAAATAATCTTTCCTTCTTTTAAGCCGATTACCTCAGGTATGTTGTCACATTAACAGTTGACTAACAAAGTAGGGATGTTGGTGAACATAAAATGATGGACCACCTCAGCCAGGTATGTTCCAGGGAAACAGAACTTATTCTGGTGTTCCATGCTGTGGGCCAACAACCCATTCTAGAATTTCGGGGACTCAAGAGAAGCTGCTGGGCTGAGATGACACCCCACCTTCCATGTAGCATGGCACTTATCCTCCATGACAGAAGATCACTTCTTTCCCAGGATGCCTTAAAGACAGAAAGACTGAGCTCAAAACTAGAGATATCTGGGAAAGGTCTGGGAGAGGAGTGGAAGGGAATGAGAGGGCAATGGCCACCCCTGTCCAAAGCTGGCTTCTTTTATCCCTAGACTGCTTCTTTTGATTCACACTGAGAACAGCCAGGTAGACAGTTCCTTCAAGGCAGCTGCCTGGCATCTTACCTGTACCCCAGAACTGTGAGTGAGGCATCCTGATACCTCTCCAGTAAGTCACAAGCTGGAGAGTCTCCAAGCAAGAAAACACTCCCCAAATCCTAGATGTGAAAGAGAAGTATTCAGGAGTGGCACCATAAACCATCAGCCCATAATGAATTGCCACACATGGTCTGAATCCCTGTTTCTATAGCCCCAGTTTGGAGCAAGTCCCATAGCAGGGGAAGCAGATAGGGCTCAGGGGATATGTGCACCCTCTGAAATTCCTTGCAAGATTGTGTGTGTGGGTGCCTTTGTCTGGGAAGAGTGTGTTAGTGTTTTCTGGGTCTCAGAAAGATCAAGGACTCAAAGACATTTAAAACCAAGTAATTAAGGACCCAGAGTCTCCTCCAACCCTGTGTGTGCTCTGAGCACAATTCTCACACCACCAAACAGGTGATGAAACACAGTGAAAAGTACTCTGTAAATGGGGTAATCAACATTGTACTGGCTGTTGCCAGGAGGAAACTGGAAAGGAAAATAGTATTTGGGGAAAAAGAGCCACTTCAGTGTGTGGCACAAATCCAGCTGGACATTTCTCCAGTCAGTCTCAGGGTCCTAGAAAACACCCCCTCATTTGTCATGGACATTTGGACACCCCTGGGCTCCCTTCCCATACTTCTTGGCCCATGATCATTTCCTGTAAGGGTCCTCATCTCTACATTCCAGGCAACAAAGGGCAGCCCTCCAGGCCTACAGCCCTCACCCATCAGGGTCAAGGAAACCCCAGAAAAGGGGGAAGACTGATTAACCCTTTCTTTCCTGCACCGCCCTCCCAGTTCTGCCTCTGAAGAGGATGCTAGTAGATCCAAAGTCCCACATGCAAAGGAAATGCCCCCTGTCTCAAGGACCCTACAGAGAGCTCAGGTTCCACAGGATGTGTAAGCATACCAGGGAACCTAAAGTGTTTGAGGATTCCCAGTCCAGCCTCCTACTGTGGGTCTCCAGCTGGAGCTCAAAACTGCTGGCTTCACTTTGTCCTCTTACCCCCAGAAGGGCTTGTCAGTCAGTCCCCTCTATGCTTCTGCATTCCCCAAAGTACCCCTCCCAGGACCGGGGGGGGGGGTTTGTGGGGAAATAAGCATTTGATCAGTAAAACCTGATCAAAGCATTTGATCAGTAAAAACTGTCTGGTGTGCAAATGGGATTCGAGGGTCTGGAAAATCCATTATTCTGTTTGAAAGCAAAGGAGTTACCATAGAGGCCATACAAAGTTTCCAATGTTCAAAACACTTTAAAGTTATGCAGTGTGGAATGCCATCCTTCTTTGATGATTCAATTTAGAGAAAGCACCTGGGGATGCAGGAACATCTCAAGCATCGTTCTGGATGTTGTTTAGAAAAGCAGAAACAAGGGTGGAAGCCCCATGTCTTCTGAAGTCCCCAAGTTGCTGCTTCCCTGCCCTTGTGCAGTACACACCTTGGGAACACAAACTCCAGGGTAACATCACAACAGATATAAAGGTGGGGCGGGGGTGGGGGTGGGGGGGGAGAGGGGTGGAGCCCAGAATCCAAGAGGAATGTGAATCCATTTACATTTTGGGAGCTCCTCCCAGGAAGGCACTTCCACGAGCCTGAGAAAACCTCACAAAGGTCACCTGAGGGTGCTTCCCCTCCCCGACCTGCAGTAGACTGCAACTCTAACTGGGGTCAGTCTAGCAGGAACACAGGCCCTCTATGAGTCCGACACAAAGCCAGGGCAATACAACCTGCTTAGCAATTCCTAAGGGCAGTTTGCATCCTTCTGCCTCACTGCCACACAACGAAATTCATGGTACAGGCCACCCCCCCCCCGAAGAAACTGAGAAAGAAAAACAAGCCAAAGAGGTAGATGACCGCCATCAGTCTCTCAACAGGGGAAACCAGTCAAATCTGCAGTCTGTCCCTAATCAGTGGGGTATGACCAGGCTGAGGGCAAAGTGCCGGCAGTCAGAAGTTCTTGCTGTCCAGGAAACCAAATCTAGCTCCCTTCTCTCCCAAGGCTGTCGGCAGGGATTCATGGTCAAGGACCAAAGTTAGGAGAGGTAACACACTATCTCTTCCCTGAACCATAATACAGGCTCTCTCTCAGAAGGGGCGAACGTCCTAGGGACTGGCCATGCCCTTGGACTCCCCCTCAGAAGGCTGAGTTGTCAGATAACTGCACATTCCTTGGGGACCCTTTGTAGGGGGTGACGGCCAGTGGATAGAGAGGAAGAAAAGAACCCTAGTCCAGAGCAGGCATGCATCCCTGCATTCTCTCCTACCAACCATCCGGAGACCTACGGCGAGAAAAAGGGACAACAGTCCAACAGGTCCCTTTCACCCGGCCTCACGGCCTCACCCAGCCAGCCTTCCTCCGCCCTACCCTGAGGCCCCAAATTCAGCGGGAGCGCCCAGGCACCTGCTGCCAGACAGGACTCCATCTGCACGCGAGGGGGCCCTGGGCGGTGCCCCTCGGCGCTCAGGGCTTCCCCGGGAAGAGGCGGGGCGCTCCCGGGACTGGCGCGCCCCCCGCGCCCCCTCTCCGCGCTCACCTGGCGCAGGTGCTGCAGCAGCGTCCCCGCCTCCTCCCGCCGGCCCTGGCGCACCATCCGCAGCAGCTCCTGGACCATGCCGACGCGCCGGTGGTAGGGGGGCAGCCCTGCGCCGGCGCCCGCGCGCCCCGCCTTGTCCCCGGCGCGCAGCAGCAGCGACGCCCAGAAGTCGGGCCGTTCTCGGCGGGGACCAGGCGCCGAGCCGGGGCTGGCTCTCTCCGCCAGGCTGCCCTTGGTCTGTCGGGTGCCCATTGCCGCCTCCGCCGCCGCCGCCCAGTACTATCCGCGCTGGGCCGCGTCCCCGGCCAGCTGCCCGGCCCTTGGCCACCCGGGCGCGCCCGCCTCCCGGCCAGCAACTTTGGGGGAACTGTTGCGCGCGGGCGGCGCAGGGGCAGGGGCGGGGGCGGGCGGCTGCCCGCGCTCCCCTTGCTCCTCCCTCCTCGCTCCCCGGGCGCGCTCCCCCGGCGCTCGCCGCTCTGCCCGCCGGCCCCGCCCCGCCCGGCCGCCCCGCCCCCAGCTCCCGCCCCTGCGCCGGGCTCCGCGCCGCCGCGCGCCTCCCTCCCTCCCTCGCTCCAGCTCCTTCCCGCCGCTGGGCTTTGAGCTGGGGGGGTTGCTGGGCGCTCCCTCACTGCATCGTTCCTGGCACTGCTCCCCCTGTCGGCCACCGCACTGCGCCTCCTGGGGCCGTGTTGCGGTGGCGAAGGAGGCGGGCAAGCCCAGCGATGGCATTGGGTTCCCCACCAGGTTCCCCAGATGCTTCCACGCCCGCGCGGGAGGGTGAAGCCTGCGGGAGGTGGTGGGAGGAAGTCAGTGCGCCGGGTGAGGTGGGGAAAGTTTGGCGCATGGGGGTCTCTCAGTCCCAAAGTCGGGTGACTCAAAAGTGGGCTCCGCTGAGCATCAGTACCCTAATCGTTTGAGGCGCTGGTAGAAAGCGGAGCCTCCCAAGGCCTCGCCCCAGACCTACTGCATGAGGCTCTCGGAACGCCTGGTGATGTGCATTTTTAGCCTGCATCTTGGGTGATTCTGATGCATGCTCCTTGGAGCCCTGATTAATTGGGGGCGCAGCTGATTGTGGTTGGTGCATGGACCCAGAAACTTTGTACACGATTGTGTTTCCACAGGGCTCTCAAGGATCTGGACTGGAAAGAGGTGTGACCTTCTCTTGTTCCACTCTCATACCTCAGAGAAGTCCTTGGAATGGTCCTGGTACTACAAAGCAAAGGTATGCCTCCAGGCAGGGCCAGCTGCACACTCCTGCTCTTTCCTCCCAGGCTTCCTCTGTCAGGCCTGGCATGTAAGGAACCAGACCCCTGTGAGTCCATGGGGCCCTACCAGAGAGAAGACTAAGGCACATGGGACCTTCCCTGTATGCCTAGGTGATTGTCTAGGACTCAGCTGCAGGGCTGCAGGAGAAGCAGCAATGGTGTGAGTGCTCCTCTCATTCAAGCCCTGGGTGCTGCTTTAGGGTCTAAGGAAATGTGGAGCAAGTCCTTGGCTTGTGAATCCTGGTTCTTCCTCAGTCATGTTAGGATAATAACTAAGTCAAGAATTGGGAGAGTAAAATAGGTGGATACTTTTAAAGAAAAATTATCCATTGAAACTTGTTAAAGCACAGTAAGGCAGACTTTATTCAAGACCATTATCAATAGGATTTTGCATGGGGGGAGAGAGATTGAGCTCAATTCAGAATACAGCATGGATAAGTGGGTGGGGGGAAGATGGTGGATGGAAAATGACTAAGAGGAAACATCAGGTGTAAGGGGAATTCTGACTAAACTAACCTAACAGAATTGCTGAAGACGGGCCAGGCTGACAAGGCATTTCCCCAGGGTAGCCTAGGGGATGGTAGAAGATGAAGAACCTAGTAAGATACTGAGGGAGATGATTAGATATCCAGAGTTCTTGCAAAACTGACTTAGCAGGGTTCTTAGCTAAAACTGGATTTTACAAGGAAGTACACAGATGGGCCAGTGTGAAAGTTACAGAACCTGACTAAAGGTTGGCTAAGCAGAGACTCTTATCAGTAGATAAACTCCAAGCAGAGGAGTTCTACAAATGAGAGTTCCTTCGCTACTTTGTGCTCATAGGATCTTCCTGTAGGTGTCTTCTCCATCAATCCTAAGTACCTTAATGAAGAGGTCTTGGGTCTACCTTAGCAGGCTTCTCTTCCCTGTGCCCACCACACTCCCAAATGTCCAATTCTGCTGGCAGAGAACAGTCTTCCTACAAGCAGGCTTCGCAAAGTTTAGAGCAGCACTTTTCAAACTCACCTGTACACTTTGTGTGCAGAATATTTGTTGGTGTCCCCAGAGAACCCAGTTAGAGAAATACTTCTGTGTCTCTTATGTATGGCGTTCAGGACCACCCAGCAAGGTAGCTGCCTAGGAAACCTGCTGACCAGAGGGACAGTGGGCACCACCCACTTAGAGACAGATCTCACAACCCATGCTAGGATGTTGGCCTGCTTGAGGGTGTGTGGTTGGGGCAGATGCTGGTGGAAGAGGACCAGTCCCTCATTGGGATCTGGATGACATTCTTTTCCTTTTCTTCAGAGATCTGAATCCATCCTCCTTCTCTGTTCTTAATCCCCACCCTGTCCTCCAACTTTTCCTTTCCTGGCTTTTCTCGAATAAGATCGCTCAAAAATTAAAACCACACTAAGATTCCACCTCACCCCTGTTAGAATAGCCATCATTAGCAACACCACCAACAACAGGTGTTGGCGAGGATGCGGGGGAAAAAGGAACCCTCTTACACTGTTGGTGGGAATGTAAACTAGTACAACCACTCTGGAAAAAAATTTGGAGACTACTTAAAAAGCTAAACATTGATCTACCATATGATCCAGCAATACCACTCTTGGGGATATACCCAAAAGACTGTGACACAGGTTACTCCAGAGGCACCTGCACACCCATGTTTATTGCGGCACTATTCACAATAGCCAAGTTATGGAAACAGCCAAGATGCCCCAGCACAGACGAATGGATTAAGAAAATGTGGTATCTATACACAATGGAATTTTATGCAGCCATGAAGAAGAACGAAATGTTATCATTCGCTGGTAAATGGATGGAATTGGAGAACATCATTCTGAGTGAGGTTAGCCTGGCCCAAAAGACCAAAAATCGTATGTTCTCCCTCATATGTGGACATTAGATCAAGGGCAAACACAACAATGGGATTGGACTTTGAGCACATGATAAAAGCTTTAGCACACAAGGGAGGGGTGAGGATAGGTAAGACACCTAAAAAATTAGCTAGCATTTGTTGCCCTTAACGCAGAGAAACTAAAGCAAATACCATAAGTGCAACTGAGGCCAATAGGAAAAGGGGAGCAGGAACTAGAGAAAAGGTGAGATCAAAAAGAATTAACCTAGAAGGTAACACACACGCACAGGAAATTAATGTGAATCAACTCCCTGTATAGCTATCCTTATCTCAACCAGCAAAAACCCTTGTTCCTTCCTATTATTGCTTATACTCTCTCTTCAACAAAATTAGAGATAAGGGCAAAATAGTTTCTGCTGGGTATTGAGGGGGTAGGGGGGAGAGGGAGGGGGCGGAGTGGGTGGTAAGGGAGGGGGTGGGGGCAGGGGGGACAAATGACCCAAGCCTTGTATGCACATATGAATAATAAAAAAAAATAAATAAATAAAATAAAAAAAAAAGATCGCTCAAATCACTCTCTCATCTATTGAAAGATAAAGTCCATTCACCCCCAACTGCTCCTGTCACCAGTGCCCTACTTCTCTCCTTCCTTTTCAGCTGAGATTCTTAGAAATTCCTTACGTTTATTGTTACAACTTCGTTACCTCCATTCATTCCTCAGCCACTTCAGATTGGCTTCTGCCCACACCACATCATTGAAATGCCTCTTGCCAGTGACCTAGTTGCTAAATTCAGTGGCCACTTTCAGTTTTCATCTTACTTGACTTCTAAGCAGCATCTGATCCTGTTGTCAGCTCCATTTTGATTGAAACTCTACTCTCTTGACTTATAGGGAAATACTCTAACTTTTCTTTTTTGTTTCCTTTCCTCTCTCATTTTTGCAGTGCTGGGGATTGAACCCAGGTCCTTGAACATGTCAGGCAAGCACTCTATCACTAAGTGACACCCTCAGCCTGTTTCCTTCTTGAATTCCTTTGGACTTCCTTTCCTTACCCTGGTGCTTTACTCATTACCCAGGATGCTACTTCAGACCTCTTGCTAGGCAATGTCATTTATACTCATGGCTTTACCCACTGATGACTCCAACTCTCTTTCTAATTGATGAGTTAATAAATTAACTTGTCACTGATTCATGATTATTGGCGGAAGATGCAAGACTTCAGGGTCAGAACCCTAAGACTTTATTGCTTAGGGCATAGAAAGTAGCATGGGCCTCAGCATATTTATATCAGTTCCCCTTGCCTCCAAGTCCCACAGGGTACCGTGATGGGCCCAGATGGATGCTCCATATGCTGCTGGTTTGTGTCATAGCGGGGAAACATGGAGTTTGGGGAATCTACTGCTTATATAGGAAACAGTAAGCAAGACTGCTCTTCGTCCTGGAGGAAGACAATACCTCATCCTTCAAGGTTGCTTGTTACAAACATAAAAAGAGACCAGGGTCTTACATTCTTGGGACACACAGAAAAGAATGCCATAGGCCCATGGAGGATTGTCCCTTCCAACAGTGGGCACTTCACATTCTCTCCCCCAGCCTACCTACTCCTCTCTCTGCTTCCCACTGGGAACAGCTGTCCAGAAGCCCTGAAGTCACTGTGCACTCGGTCCTCTCCTTCGGTATCTGCGCCTGGTTAAGAATGCCGATGCCCACGCATGGTAAGGGTAGCGCTTGTCTGTTGCTCTCGTTTGTTCCATATTCCCAGAGTGCTGGGCCTGGGGCAGTGCTATTTACATATATTATTTCATCCCTTCAACCACTGAGGAAGACTTTGTTTTTGTCCTGATTTCCTAGGGGAGGAAATTGAATTTTAGCAAGTTTAAGCGACTTGTCCAAGGTCACACAGGTAGTAAAGGGCAGAGCTGGGATTCACACTTAGATCTGTCTGACTCGAAAGCCTATGTTAGTGTTGATTTAAATAATAGATTCTATCTTTAAAATAAGGCCCCATCCTGCAGCCATTGCCTTGGTAAAGGACCTGTCATTTTTTACCCCAACCTTCTTTCTAATTTGACTCTCACCTCCAGCCTCTTAGGCATCTCCCATTCTAAGCTGTTTTTTGTTTTTGTTTTTTTGTGGCACTGGGATTTAAACTCAGGGCCTCATGCATGCTAGGCAGGCAGTCTACCATTCCACAAGCCCGAATCTCCTATTCTAAAATGGGGAATCTCCTCCCTCCCCCTGTCAGTATCAGTCAGCTTTGCATTACTATAGCAAATGGCTGTGGCAGTCAACTTAAAAAGAGGAAAGCTTTATTTTGGCTCATAGTTTTATTGATTGCAGTGCCAGAGATCAAACCAGGCTTCATGCATACTAGACAAGCCCACTACTGAGTCACATCCCTAATCCTCTTTTTTTTTAGCAGTACTAGAGTTTAAACTCAGGGCCTCATGCTAAGCTCTCTACCACTTCAGCTGTGCCACAAACCCTTTCTGCTTTAGTTATTTTTCAGATAGAGCATTGCAGTTTTTGAACTGCATACCTCCCTAGTAGCTGGGATTACAGGTATGTACCACTGAAGCCAGAGTTTTAGGCCCCAGGCCCAAACTCCTGGGGTTCAACATGTCAGGTTTGGCCACTTGCCCCAGTATGCCAAATGAAGGGATGAATGGTGGTGAACGGCAGAAAAGGATGTTTATTACATGGCATGGACCCTGAAGGAAGAGTGAAGGTAGCATTTCAACCCATTTTAGGGCTACAGGCATGAGCTTTAGGTTTAAATAGACAAAGAATTTGGGCAAGAGAGAAAAGTATATGCATAATGATTAAACAGTCCTGGTCACAGTATGGACATCAGCTCTGTCCTTGTTTTGAACTCAGGGCCTCATGC